AGAACACAATTGCTCACCATCACCCAAGCAATGCCCAGTCAGTCCCCAAACAAAGGCATCCCCCTTGCCAATACTCCTCTCCCCTTCAGCCGCCCCTTACACACACACACACAGTTTTATGTTTTAACACAGTTACGTTTTTTAACACAGTACTCGAGGTGTGGCCTCACCAGAGCCGATTACAGGGAGACAATCACTTCCCTAGACCTGCTGGCCATGCCGTTTCTGATACAAGCCAGGATGCTGTTGGCCTTCTTGGCCACCTGAGGACACTGCTGGCTCATATTCAGCCAACTATCAACCAATACTCCCAGGTCCTTCTCTGCCAGGCAGTTTTCCAGCCACTCATCTCCCAGCCTGTAGCGTTCCTTGGGCTTGTTGTGACCCAAGTGCAGAACCTGGCACTTGGCCTTGTTAAACTTCATACAGTTGACCTTAGCCCATCAGTCCAGCCTATCCAGATCCTCCTGCAGAACCTTTCAACCCTTGAGCAGATCAACACATGCATCTATGTTGTTGACATCTGCAAACTTACTGAGGGTACACTCTATCCTCTCATGCAGATCATTGATAAAGATATTGAAGAGAACTGGCCCTAGTACTGAGCCCTGGGGGACACCACTGGTGAGCGGCCTCCAACTGGATTTAACTCCATTCACCACAACTCTTTGGGCCCGGCTACCCAGCCAGTTTTTAACTCAATGAAGTGTACGCCAGTCCAGGCCATGAACAGCCAGTTTCTTCAGGAGAATGCTGTAGGAAACGGTGTCAAAAGCCTTATTGAAGTCAAGATGGAGCACATCCCCAGCCTTTCCCTCATCCACTATGTGTGTCACTTTGTCATAGAAGGAGATCAGGTTCATCAAGCAGGACCTGCCTTTCATAAACCCATGTTGACTGGGCCTGATCGCCTGGTTGCCCTGTAAGTGCCGCATGATGGCACTTAAGATAATCCGTTCCATGAGCTTCCCCAGCACCGAAGTCACACTGACAGGCCTATAGTTTCCCAGGTCCATGCTCTGGCTCCTTTTGCAGATGCACATCACATTTGCAACTGGGACCTCCTCTGATAGCCAAGCTGCTGATAAATGATGGAAAACGGCTTGGTCAGCTCTTCCACCAGTTCTCTCAGTACCCTTGGGTGGATCCCATCCGGCCCCATCGACTTGCATACATTTAAGTGCTGTAGCAGGTTGCCAACTATTTCCTCATAGAGTATGAGGGCCACATTTTGCTCCCTGTCCCCTTCCACCAGCTCAGGGGACTGGGTATCCAGACAGCAACTGGTCTCACTGCTAAAGACAGAAGCAAAGAAGGCATTAAGCACCTCAGCCTTTTCCTCATCTTGCCACTAAGTTTCCCCCCGCATCCAGAAGAGGATGGAGATTCTCCTTAGCCCTGCTTTTTGTGTTGATGTATTTATAAAAATATATATATATTTTTTGTCATCTTTAACATAAGTAGCCAGAATGAGCTCCAGATGAGCTTTGCCCTTTCTAATTTTGTCCCTGCACAGCCTCGGAGCATCCTTATAGGCCTCCTGAGTGGTCTGCCTTCTTTTCCAAAGGTCATAAACCCCTGAGCTCTAGCCACAACTCTCTGTTCAGCCAGGCTGGTCTTCTTCCACCCCGGCTTTTCTTTGGGTATGTGGGGACAGACTGCTCCTGAGCCTTAAAGAGTTCCTTCTTGAAGAGTGCTCAGCCTTCCTGGACTCCTCTGCCCTTCAGGGCTGCCTCCCAATGGACTCTGCCAACCAGTGTCCTGAACAGCTCAAAGTCTGCCCTCCAGAAGTCTAAGACAGCAGTTTTACTGGTCCCCTTCCTTACTTCACCAAGAATAGAAAACTCTACCATTTCATGGTCACTCTGCCCGACAGCTTCCACCAGTCCCGGATAGTCTCTGTTTGTGAACAGAAGGTCTAGCAGGGCACCTCCCCTGGTAGGCTCACTAACTAGTTGAGTCAGAAAGCTATTTTCCACACACTCCAGGAACCTCCTAGACTGCTTTCTCTGAGCTCTGTTGTGCTTCCAGGATATGTCTAGGAAGTTGTAGTCACCCCCCTTGTCACTTTGTGTTGAGGAGGTCCAAGTCGATGAATGAGTTGCTCCAATGCTTCAATTGTGCTGTTGATTAGCATGTTTGGTGGGTTTAGTAAACAGCAATCCTGACACTGTATCAACGGTAGTGAATATATATTGCCACACCCTCAATGGAGGCAGGGGGTCAATGTAATCAACCTGACAGGTATTTAAAGGCTACTGACACCGTTTTATTTTCCCCTGGGGTCTATATCATGCTCTTAAAGGTAGCTGTCTACAAATAGCACAATTATGTGCACATGCCTTTTACATATGTAATTGTAAAGGGGGTTGATTGTGAGCAATGCACAAGCAGTATGAGCTGATCAATGTCCGCAAGCTATACATGCAATTTATAGCTTGACCATATACCTTGGCAGAGGTCGTATCATCTACTTCCCTGTTGTTTTGCGACTCAGAAAAATTGTCTTTTTGGTGGGGTGAGACACACTTTACTTTTAAGAGATACTTAAAGGATATTTTGCCAAATTTCATAGAATCATAGAATATCCTGAGTTGGAAGGGACCCTTAAGTACCATCAAGTCCAACTCGACACCGCACAGGTCTACCCAAAAGTTCAGACCATTTGTTGCCATATGTCTGCCCTCATACAGGGTATTTCTGTATATGCTAATTTTCTTGGTCCCATCACAGTAACCGCATTGTGAGGCTTTTGTATACAACCCAGCTGTCAGTGTACAAATAATGCGCCTTTCCTTCAAGGATAGCCAAGGATGCTGCAATCAATTCAGCGTACTGACTGGATGCCTGTACACCTGTTTGCTGCAATATAATCCCTGAAACTGGAGCATACACAACTGCTCTCCATTGTCTTCATCCAGTTGAAGTGTATGTTGCACTCCCATCGGTGAACCAGGCATCTTTTTTGTGCTCTTCTGTTAACTCATTGTAAGGGTGTGCTTCACCCACAAGAGATTTGGGGAGGTATGTGGGGTGGGGGGTGTGGGGTATGGGGCTTCCCATAGTGCAGGCCCACAGTTAAAGGATACACTTCCTACGAGCGTGGTTTCTGGAGTGATTACATGTGGTTTTCCTGGCAGGAATCATTGCTGTAAATAATGTTTCCAATGTGTGGCTGCCTGGTCTATCCCTGTGTGTGCCCTAAAAGAATTACCTGTAACCCACCTATGAATAGTTAAGGGTGGATGTACAGTTACACTGTCTTGGTCTGCAATTCTTTCAGTTTCTTGCACTGCCCAAACTATCTTTAAGATTTGTTTCTCCATCAGGGTATGACAGAGAAACATATGCATGGCAGATCTTTGGACCCAAATCCTATAGGTTCTTTCTGACTTTTCAGCCCAGTCATTTGCCATAATCCCCATGAAACTATATCATTTAGAATTGTTATTTCTAATTAAAAAGTGTATCACTGCCTTGGAGTATATAATTGTATATGCTCAGAGCATTTTTGTAGGCATCAAAGGCTTCTTGTTGTTGTTTGGTCCATTGCCAAACAGCTTTTTTTCGAATCATTTTTGCAGAGGGTGCTTTAATACTGCCAGATGTGGAATAAAGGTTCTCCAATACCCTAAAATTCCCAGGAAAGTCTGCAGTTGTTTCACTGTGGTTGGCACAGGGAATTTCTGGACTGTTTGCTGTATCTTTTCTGGTATTTCTTTAGTCTGTCCATACCAGACTGTTTCTAGAAATTGCACAGTAGTACTAGTCTTTGTATTAATTGCCCAGCCTTGGTCTTGTAGGTGCAGTTTCAGTGATTTGAAAGGTACTTTGATTTTTTGTTTTGACTCTGCCATAATCAGTAGATCATCAATATAATGATAAATAGTGATGGTACCTGACCATACTGCTAGTCAGCTGCTATCATTTGGTGGCTAACAGAGGGACCGTGTATATCCCTGAGGCAGAACATGAAATGTATATAGCTTTTATTGCCAGGTAAAGGCAAATTGGTCTTGGCTTTCTAAAGGAACATCTATCAAAAAGAAAGCATTAGCAAGATCTATCACCACCTTCCAGGGTTGCAATTTGTTTGCTAATTTTCTCTATGACAGTAACCATGTCTGGCACTGTAACTGCAAGTTGGAGGGAGGGGTGACTTCATTCAATCCTCTATAATCCACAGTCATTCTCCAAGTTACAACCATCAAACAGAACACATGTTCACATGAGAAGTTCTTGCTGCACTTTTAGATAAAGGCAAGGATACAAGTGGCATGATCACAAGTACTGAAGGCTCTACTATTAAAAATCAAATGACAAAGTTTACCCTGTTGCCAATGGATGCACACATCACAATACAGGCCTGAACACCAAGCTGTATATGCAGCATGGCACAAACTTGTGCCGGCTCAGGTTAAAAATTGCATGGATTAGGATTACTAACTCGTCCATGTACAATTGCCTTTCAGTCAGGATTACTGTAAGCCAAACATGAGGTCATGTGAAAGTATGGCTAACAAAAATAGTATACATACAGCAAGAGTGACATTTCTTGTATACAGCAAGATTGTAATAGTATAAGAAAATCAGACAATTTGTTTGACATGTACTTAGCTCTCTGTATCTCTGTCCATAGGGATTTGGCTAACTGATTTTCATTGATATCCATCTTCCTACATGGTTTTGAAAACAATAGATCTTATTATTAGGTTTTCTAAAAGAATTTTTTTCTATTACTGAGAGCATGGTAGGAATTATTGCATTATTATTGTAGCAGAATAATTTACAGCCAGGTGAGTTTAGTCATGTAAGCATCCTCACAAATAGCAAGGAGATATTTCCACATAGAAACAATGATACAAGTTCTTCCTTACCAGACTTCAGTGCAACAAGTCATTGATGACTGAAGCAACCATGAAGAAGTAAGTAGTAGAGGTCCTACCCATATGCATTTCAAGAGGGAAGCCTCTCAGGAGTGTCCTTGCTCATCAGTATCCTCATCCTAGGCACCTGTGACTAGAGCAGCTTGTGACTATGATCTTTCTCAGAACCTCTTTCACTTCCTTGTTCCTGAGACAGTAGATTAGAGGGTTTAGCGCTGGAGTGAATACAGCATAAAAGATGGACACTATCTTGTTGAGGTTGAATGGATGGATCCTTCTGGGCCTGGCATACATAAAGAGAGTGGCTGAAAAGAAGATGATGACAACAGTGAAATGGGATGTGCAAGTGGAAAAAGCTTTTCTCCTTCCCTGGGTTGAAGGCATACGCAAGATGGTTGACAAGATACAGCAATAAGAGAAAATAATGATCAGGAGAGGTACCAGAAGGATCACCAAAGCCAGTGCAAAGTCCACTGTTTCTGCAAGGGACATGTCAGTGCACGAAAGGTTCAAGACTGGAGAAATGTCACAAAAGAAGTGGTTTATGACTTGTGGGCCACAGAATGTGAGGCGTGAAATAAAAGATACCTTGACCAAGGAAATAGAAAAGCCTCCTGTCCATGAAAGAATTGACAGCTGAAAGCACAACTTGTGGGTCATGATGGCTGGGTAGCGCAGGGGATGACAGACAGCCACGTAGCGGTCATAGGCCATTACAGCCAGGAGGACGCATTCAGTGCACATGAGGGAGATAAAGAAGTATAACTGGGTCATGCAGCTGGAGAATGAAATGGTCTTGTTCTGTGACCAGAACCCAAACAAAAGCTTGGGCAATGTTACTGAGACATACCAAATCTCCAGGAAGGACAAGTTTCCCAAGAAATAATACATGGGCTTCTGTAGATGATGGTTCCTTTTCACCACAAAGATGATGATTGCATTCTCAGTGATTGTCACCATATAGGTGACAAGAAAGACCAGATAAATTAAGGTCTGGATCTGCATCCCATAGGAAAACCCCAGAAGAATGAACTCATCGATAGTGGTTTGGTTCTTCATAACATATTGGGTACACACAGCTATCCCTGCAGATGTCAAAGCAGAAGAAATAGAAAAATGTTAAGAGTTCCACAAAAGGAAGACTGTGTGAAGAATTAGGTCACTTAATAAACTGTTTCCCATGGAAACTGTTTTTCACTAAGTAGAACCAAAATTTACGACCAGAATGAAGTGAGATGTCCACCCATCATTGTTTCCCTTGATTTGTTATCTCGCTTTTAATAGCAACACTGGAAAAAGCAAAACAAACCAAAAATGAACGAAAAAGCACCAGAAGACCTTCTTAAAGTTATCTGTTTTCTTGTAGTATAGAGAAGACAAAAAAAAAAAAAAAAAAAAAAAGAAAAGAAAAGAAAAGAAAAAAAAGACTAACATTCACACTGCTGAAAACAGCACCACAAAAGCTCAGATAGTATGTAGACAAAAGTGTTTAAGAAAAAATAATATAAATTGAACAGATCATTTTCAAAAATATTACAGATTTTAGTAGTTAATGTTTTTAGCAAGTCAAATGAGATTTTCAGTGAGTGGCAAGACTGGCTCCTTCAGCCTACAATTCATCTAACTGAAACACATCTTAGAAAGAGGAGAGTAATTCTCTCTTCCATTTCGATATCTTCATCTTAGCTCTAGACATCTATCTAGTGGTTGTTTTAATTTCAATAACTTAAAGTAGACATTACATGTTTCTGTTAACTGTTGTGCTCTAGATTCCATTTCAGATATTCCATCAATGGATACCTGGATAATAGGCATTAATTGAGCATTCATAACCTAGAGTATAACATAGTCTTCAGATGTAACTTATGCTAAAATATATAATGTATTTGCACTCTAGAAATGCCTATTTCTCTTCATAGAGATTTCAGTGACCCTTGATTAACCTTTAAGTAGATGCCATTGTTTATAGTAGAACTGTAGATGATTTAAAATAGAGGATATAAGGTTTGTTCTTACTGCTTTTAAGGGAAATGAACATATAATTAACATGCAAACATACCTCGTCCCAATCTACTTGCTTGTAGATTTTACAGCTCATTAATACAAGCAAGTTTGTGGAAAGCTAAAAAAGAAAGATGTCAACACAAGAGATGTACTTATGTACTAAGAACAGAAACATACTCTTTAGCTATTTTCTTTCATTACCTACCTGAATAAGTATGGTCCTTTGATTAAGGGATGACAAAAGAACTGCAGAAAAGGAGTACTAGCATTCAGCAGTTTCAAACTCTTGCACTTTCAATTAAGAGGGAAAATCTGATGAAAAGACTTAATACATTTTGCTATTACTCTTAATTTACAGCTATTTTCCCATATCATACAACTGTCAGTTTACATGAAGTACATGACATAACAAAGAATAAATTGTTTTTGAAGCATTTAGATCAATAACTTACACCAGAATGGATCTGTGATTTCTTGTCATGTGCTACTACAAGAAAACGTTAAGACTTGCTTACCAATTCAGGATTCCCAGGTATGCATTTGGCCGTTAAACTCTTGCAACAAGCAGAGGTATCAGATAGAGTTTTTCTGAACTATCTGAAGGGTTGTCCTTTAAAGGAGTCAGTGATAATTATTATTTTTTTGGTTGGTCGGTTGTTTTTCTTCTCTTTGTCTATTTTTTCCCCTTCTTTTATGGGAAAGCTTCCCTTGCAGCAAAAAGGTCTGAGCTAGTAAAGTCTTTTACCAATTAAAGTAATGGAGGGTGTAGAAGCTTATTATCTCTAATTATCTCCAATAACTATCTCCAGAATACTCTGTTTTGCTGTGGCACACCATGGGCTGCAGGGAGATAACCTGCTCTACCATGGGCCTCTCCACAGGCCACAGGGGAACTTCTGCTCCAGTGTCCAATCACCTTCTCCTCCTTTATCACTGCTCTTAGTGTCTGCATGGTGAGTTCTCACTTCTCTCTCCTCTAGCTGCTATTGCACAGTGGGCTTTTTTATGTTTCTTAAAATGCTCTCAGAGGTGCAACCAATGTCACTCATTGGCTCAGCTCTGGCCAGTGGTGGGCCCCTTTTGGAGCTGTCTGGAGCTGGCTTTTAACTATCATGGGGGAATTCTGGACTCTTCTGACAGAGGCCACCACTGCAGCGTCCCTGCTAACCAACTTTTGCCATGTAAACCCAATACAAAATTGCATGTCCTGGGGGTCTGCATGAAGGCATATAAGTACATTTAATGGACCAAACAAACATCCTTGAATTGATTCAAGAAATCTATGTGTTGAAATATTTCAGTTAAGCTAAGAATTTTTATCTCTAAAAGAACTTGTTTATAGTAACTTTGAACTTTAGCTGTTATTGAAAACAAAACTCCAGCTTACCTAGGCCTACACTTATTTGCAGTCTGATTCCTAACAGACACAAACTCCCAGAGATGAAAATTTGACAACCCTATCTTCAGTGTTTTCCAGATGCATACAACTGAAGTGAATGTGTACACAAACACGGATGGCTGTAACTAATTTGCTTTACTGTAGCCTTTGAAATATTAGGTGATTCAGTTTGAAGATAAAAACAACAATGTTTAATATTTAAGAGTATCATTCATTCAGACACCTAAAAATGTTTGTAGGCACTGACCACCCAAACTTTCTATATGGCAAAGATGAATTGGACAAAAAAGTGTGTGGAATCTAGACATCAATTCAGTTAATCAAATGCAGGGCCAACAATCAAATGTAACTCTGTCCAACAACCTGAAGTAGCAAGAACACCTACCTGGGACTGGCTGATATGATTCAAAATCTTACAGTGCATCAGCTGAAGGCTGAAAAGAAAGCAGGGCCAGCCCAAGAAAAAAAGATGAAAATACAGAAAGCTTGATGGAGCTGAGCTTTTGTACTGGGTCTGGATGGAATGGAGTTAACTTTCCCTGCAGCAGCCCTTATAGTGTTGTGCTCTGCACTTGTAGCTAGAACAGCATTGGTGTCACACCAGTGTTGTGACTATTGCCGAGCAATACTGCCACAGCGTCAGGACTTGCTCCAACCCCCACCTCCCCCAAAAGCCAGCAGGCTGGAAGTGGGCAAAGAGATGAGCAGGGGACATCCCCAGGGCAGCTGACATAAACCAACCAAACAAATGACCATATGATGTCACACTCTGCAATGAAAGATGGGAAAGGGGAAGGAGGGATGAGGAGGGGTCCTCATTATGAAAATGTCTGTCCTTCCAAACAACAGCTACATGTACTGAGGCCTGACTTCAGGAATGTTGTCAAGTACAGTTTATTGATGGGAAGTAGAGAGTCATTTCTTTCCTCTCTCTCTGTATTTCCACATGGCTTTTGCTTGTTTTCTGTTTGCTTTTCCCCTCTTCCTTTTCCCTTTAAGGAAATTATCCTTATCTCAATTCCTGAGTTGTTTTTTGTTTGTTTGTTTGTTTGTTTGTTTGTTTGTTTGTTTTTCTTCTCCTCGTTTCCAGCATACTATCTTCTTCCCCTCTTCTTGTAAGGAAGGGGAGTGAGAGAGCAGTTGTGGTGGATTTCAGATGAGTAGTAAGGTAAAGCCACCACAGCTTTATTTCCTGAGCAGGTTCATTACTTCTCCCAACAACGGCAACTATGGCTGGTGAAAACATAATATTTACAGAATATTTTCTCCTTTGATAGTACAAAACTAATAGGATTCCACATCAAGTCATCCAGTGAGTGTCCTCACACCCTGCAGTTGCCCTGGTTTAGGAGGATAAAAGGCACAAAAAGCCCAAACCTTAGCCAGAGCATGGACTTCTGCCACAGGCTCCCTGAGTAACTGTCCAATTGTTGTGATTTATCCCAGCAGACAGCTAAATGCCATGTAGCCATTCACTCACTCCTCTACCCCCTCAGTGGGATGGGTGAGAAAATTGAAAAGAAGCATGAAAGAAGGCATGGGTTGAGATGTGGTAAGTTTAATTAAAAAGAAAAAGAACAACAAAAAAAAAAGGAATGGAACAGAAAGGGAAGAAAAGAATCACACAGAATCATTTAGGTTGGAAGAGACCTCCAAGATCACCTGGTCCAACCTCTGACCTAACACTAACAAGTTCTCCACTAAACCATATCACTAACCTCTACATGTAAATGTCTTTTAAAGATCTCCAGGGATGGTGACTCCACCACTTCCCTGGGCAGACCATTCCAATGCCTAACAACCCTCTCAGTAAAGAAGTTCTTCCTAATATCCAGCCTAAAACACCCCTGGCGCAACTTTAGCCCATTACCCCTTGTCCTGTCACCAGGCACATGGGAGAATAGACCAATCCCCACCTCGCTACAGCCTCCTTTAAGGTATCTGTAGAGTGCGATAAGGTCGCCCCTGAGCCTCCTTTTCTCCAGGCTGAACAAACCCAGCTCCCTCATCTGCTCCTCATAAGACTTGTCCTCCAGACCCCTAGGTGATCTTGGAGGTCTCTTGCAACCTAGACAATTCTGTGATTCTGTGATTCTGTGATTGTACGGGACTTTGAGCAACCTGGTCTAGTGGAATGTGTCTCTCCCTGTTGCAGGGGGTAGGAATTAGATGATCTTTATGGTCCCTTCTAACCAAAACCATTCTATGGTTCTGTGATTCTATGTTTCTTTTTGACTACAGGGACAACTGAGCATCAATGGCTGGCTCTCTGATTTAGCCACAATGTCTGTATCCAGAGTTGGATTATCAACAGAACGTGTTTTGGAGGTGGGATGAGATCCAGAGACCTTCTCTTCCCATTGAGGGTGCTGAATAGTGTTGACTAGTGTTGGGGTGGTTCCTTCTGACTGGAAGATAGTCAATGTTATACCCAGTTTCAAAAAGGGTGTGAGAGAAGACCTAGAAAACTACAGACGTGTCAGTCCAACCTCAGTACCTAGAAGATAAGTTGAGAAGATTCTAATGAGGTATACGGAAAGGCAGTTAATGAACAAAGCAATTACCAGGCATAGTCAACATGGATTTATGAAAGGAAAGTCCTGCCTTAATAACTCGATCTCCTTGTATGATAAGGTCACTCTCTTTGTGAGTGGAG